CTCCTGCAGACTTCCTCATTGTTTATGATGGTGAGATGATAAATGTTGCATACAATGAGACCAGTTGGGTGATTGACAGTGGTGCCTCCATTCATGTTACATCTCGGAAGGATTTCTTTACATCTTATAAATCTGGTGATTTTGGAACAGTAAAGATGGGCAATGATGGCTTGGTTAAAGCCATTGGAATTGAGGATGTGTATCTGAAGACGAATAATGGCACGAAGTTAGTTCTCAGAGATGTGAAGCATGTTCCTAACATTCGTTTGAATTTGATTTCTGCAGGTAAACTTGATGATGAAGGGTATTGCAACACTTTCAGTGATGGCGAGTGGAAGCTCATTAGGGGTGCTATGGTTGTGGCTCGAAGCATGAAGCACTCTGCACTGTACGTTCTGCAAACAAAGATCTCCAACGACATTGTTAATGCGATGGAGGATAATGATACAACAGAGTTGTGGCACAAGAGACTGGCTCACATGAGTGAGAAATGATTAGCTCTACTTGGGAAGAAAAGTCTACTATGTGGACTGAAAAGTACACTTCTGAAAAGGTGTACTCACTGTTTGTCAAGGAAGCAGAGCAGAGTCTCCTTCAAGAATTCCCCTCATTAGAGAAAGTCAGAGATACTGGATTTAGTACATTCAGATGTGTGTGGCCCTATGAAGATGAGAACACTTGGTGGCTCCAGATACTTTGTGACCTTCATAGATGACCATTAAAGGAAGTTGTGGATTTATACCTTGAATTCAAAAGACCAAGTGTTGGCTGTATTCAAGCAATTCCAAGCCCTAGTTGAGAGACAGACTGGGAAGAAACTGAGATGCATTCGTACTGATAATGGCGGAGAGTATTCTGGTCATTTTGATGAGTATTGTAGACAGCAGGGTATCCGGCATCAAAAGATAACTCCGAAAACTCCTCAGTTGAATGGCGTAGCAGAAAGGATAAACAGGACACTGGTTGAGAGAGTGAGATGTTTGCTTTCACAAGCCCAGTTGCCAAAATCCTTTTGCGGGGAGGCATTGAGCACAGTTGTTCATGTGTTAAATCTTACATCCTGTATTTCTCTATAGTTTGATGTGCTAGACCGAGTTTGGACAGGGAAGGATGTTTCCTATAATCATCTGCGTGTTTTTGGGTGCAAAACATTTGTGCATATTCCAAAAGATGAAAGGTCCAAACTTGATGTGAAAACGCGACAGTGTATATTCCTTGGCTATGGCCAAGATGAGTTTGGGTACAAGCTTTATGATCCAGTTGAGAAAAAAATTGTGAGAAACAGAGATGTCGTATTTGTAGAAGATCAGACGATTCAGGATATTGAGAAAGCAGGGAAATCTATGTCCCAGCAAGGTGATACATTGACTGATGTGGATCCAGCTCCTCTAAAGAATCTGCCATCTCAGGTTGAGAATGATGTTCATGATGACCACCAGTGTACAAGTGATGTGGATGTTCCCCTACAGGTTCAGAGAGATGTTGAGACTGATGAGCAATTGACAGCGCCATAGATTCCACCAGAGATTCCATCTAGGAAGTCTCCCAGAGACCGATGTCCTTCCACTTAGTATTCAGCAGAGCAGTATGTGTTATTGATTGACGAGGGAGAGCCTCAGTGTTTTGCAGAAGCCATAGAAGATGAACACAAGATGGAGTGGGTTGAGGCCATACAAGATGAGATGCAGTCATTGCATGATAACCACACTTTTGAGTTAGTGAAGCTACCTAAAGGAAAAAGAGCTTTGGAAAACAAGTGGATTTACAGGAAGAAGCCAAATGGGTTCTCTTCATAGCCACGGTACAAAGCTAGATTAGTTGTCAAAGGGTTCGGTTAGATAAAAGGTATTGACTTTAATGAGATCTTCTCTCCAGTCGTAAAGATGTCATCGATCTGTATAGCACTCGGCCTAGCAGCTAGTCTTGACTTGGAAGTTGAGCAGATGGATGTGAAAACTGCCTGCCATCATGGTGATTTGGAGGAAGAGATTTATATGAAGCAGCCAGAGGGTTTCAAAGTGAAAGGGAAAGAGGATTATGTATGCAAGCTGAAGAAAAGCCTATATAGTTTGAAACAAGCACTGAGACAGTGGTATAAGAAGTTTGAGTCTATTATGGGGGAGCAAGGCTATAAGAAGATAACTTCTTATCACTGTGTATTTGTTCAAAAATTCTCTGATGATGATTTTATTATTCTACTACTTTATGTGGATGACATGTTGATTGTTGGTAGGAATGCTTCAAGGATTGACCAGTTGAAGAAGCAATTGAGTAAGTCATTTGCTATGAAGGATTTGGGACCAGCAAAGAAAATTCTTGGCATAAGAATCAGTCGTGATAGGAGTGCCAAGAAGTTATATTTGTCACAGGAAGAGTACATTGAAAAAGTGCTTCAGAGGTTCAATATGGACAACACTAAAGTGGTTAGCTCTCCTCTTGCTACCCACTTCAGACCGAGTACAAAACAATGTCCTTCTACAGATAAGGAAAATGAAGACATGGAAAGAGTTCCTTATGCCTCAGCAGTAGGAAGTTTGATGTATGCACAAACCAGATATAGCCCATGTAGTTGGTGTAGTTAGCCGATTTTTGTCAAATCCGGGAAGAGAACATTGGAATGCAGTAAAGTGATCATGAGGTATCTTTGAGGCACTTCCAGTTTGAGACTTGGTTTGAGAAACGGACAACAATTATTAGTTGGCTACACAGATGTAGATATGGCAGGGGATGTGGATACTCGTAAGTCTACTTCGGGTTATTTGATCACTTTTGCAGGTGGGACTGTAGGTTGGCAATCGAGACTTCAGAAGTGTATTGCTCTTTCTACGACAGAGGCAGAGTTTATTGCAGCAACGGAAGCGACTAAAGAGTTGCTATGGACAAAGAAATTCTTGAGAGAACTTGGTTTCAAGCAGCAGAGGTATGTGTTGTTTTGTGATAGCCAGAGTGCTATTCATCTTGCTCAGAATTCTAGTTTCCATGTAAGATCTAAGCACATTGATGTACGACACCATTGGATTAAAAATGCGTTGAATAATAAGTTACTTGAACTTGAGAAGGTTCACACTGATGATAATGGTTCTGATATGTTGACAAAGACCCTACCAAGAGAGAAGCTTGAAGTTTGTTGTTCGATCGCCTGGATGGCGATTGCCTCCACATAGTGGAAAGGGGGAGATTTGTTGGGTTTATTTCCTTGTATATGGAGGAAAGCCCAAGTGGGTTTTATTAAAGCCCAAAGCCCAGCTCTTTAGGGTAAATAACCCTAAGAAAGTCAGAATAAAAGAGGAAGAGAGATCAGCGGTTTTTTACACAAGAGAGAGAAGAAAAACGCAAGTTTTTTCTATTCTGCCCAGATTTCATCAAACGTCTGATCCCACCGTGGTCCGATCGAGCTGAAATTTGGGGGAGAGGTTCACGACTCAATGAGTTAAAATCTGAACGGTGGAGATCGGATTTTGAGCTCGGAAACAGTGATTCGTACCCGTGAACAGTAACCGGGTTTTGGTATTTTTCTCTCCAATTCTCTTTGTTTTTGCCAAGATTGATGATATCTTGATGAGATGTATTGTAGCCTCTAATTGTGATTAGAGAAGACTTTATGTACCCATTATTTGGTTGATAGTGGAGATTTCAACTGGACTAGGTCCCGTGGTTTTTGTTCCTCACACTGGGGAAATTTTTCACGTAAAAAATTGCTTGTGTTCTTGTGGTTTGGTGTGATTGATTTTCTTTTCTATTATTTTTCAGCACATATAAAATTAGAGATACACTATATTTGCTTGCATATAGGAAGAAGAGTTATTCCGCTATATTTGTTTATTGTTATCTCTCCCAACAAAAACAAACAGAATCTCTAATTGGAAGGGGTGTGGTGTTTGAGAGAGGGGGTTGATGGAATTAGCATATAAACATGACTAAAAACTATCGCCATTAGTATATGTGCATAATGCTACTAGTATACAGTTGAATCAGTTAACATACTAATAAAGATAAAACTTAATCTGACTACATAGAATCTGCAAGCTAATACAGTTAAATGCCCAAAAAGAAACTGAAGATTTTAAAAGAATAGAGGCAAACCTCTGGGGCCATCCAAAAAGGAGTCCCTCTGCAGGACTTTATATCATTAAATTTGGTTGCCTGAGAAGATACACAAGATAACATTTTCAGTAGTTTAACATCTATATATATATATAGAGAGAGAGAGAGAGAGAGTTGCTTAAAAAACTAACCTTTGCCATCCCAAAATCAGCAAGTTTTACATATCCATTTACATCCACCAATATATTGGCACATTTTATATCCCTTAAAAAAAAAAAAAAAAAGCCAGAGACTTAAAGAAAGAAATCTGCAAAACATACTACCAAGTATCAAATGGGATTAGGCGGGAATTTTTGGTTTTTCCATGTTTCATTGGATTACAAATTATCAAAAATTTAATATGGTTTTGTTTTTCCTCTTTATCAATATTCAGATTAAATTCTTTTATTAGAAAACGTCAATATGCAACAGTAGTAAGACCCATCACCACCGCAGAACACAACAATATCTCATTTGGTAGTGAAGTTCAAATTTTATTCTTTTAGGAGCTGGGAGCCAAGCTAAATGGAAAAATAGGATCCACAAATCCAACCCCAACTGGATGGGAAAGAGGCTTTATTGAGTTGAGTTAGGAGCAGGGCTGCGTATTGAATATATAAATGCATCCTAGTTATGTGATAATAGCGGAGAAATTAATAATTAATCTTATGCATTCATTAGAGACACGATTATGTCAAAGATACTTTACCTACGAGAAGACAAACAACTCAGGAATACTTCTATTTTTTCTTTATTTTTTGATAAGTAACTCAGGTATACCTCTATTAAGGCACATGGTAGAATATTAATTGAATTGTTTTTGTAACTAGATAAGCATAATTGAAATCTCTTTATCAAGTGACAAGCTGGGGGCTCAGATTACAAAATTTCAGGAGTTATCACAATTCTTGATCAAATTATGGGTTAAACATGATGAGAGTTCTGTTCTGTTTTGTAATTTGCTTCTCTCTCTTTGATTCTTCCCTTCTTTTTTTTTCTTCCTACCACTCTCAATACCTCACTTTCTCTCTTATAAATATAACATGAGCCCGAGAAGTGCATGGAATTATATAAAGGCCACTGCTATTACCAAAACAACATTGAATATTACAAAAGAAAGGTGCTGGCTGAGAACAATTGTACTATCTTCTTCCATAACTGCACATTATTGCTTTAACAATAGTGCCACCACAAAATAGAATCAATCAAATATCCATCTAAAAAGCAAAGGGTTCCCATATTGAATACAGCATTTTAACTTAAAAAAAGGAACAGGCAAGGAAAAAAGAAAAGGAATCAAACAAAAAGGGGGGAAAAAAAAAAAAAAAGGCCAGGCTACAAAATGCATTCATACGATTGAACATTATTGTAAAAAAATAAGCATGAGTTGTGGGGACAAAAATAGCATGAGTTTCCAACATGAAGTCTAGGGAGACAAAGGAAAAATTATATGCATCACCCGTGAACCACATTTCGGCTGTGAAGGTAATTTAAACCATTCAAAATCTGCCATGTATATACAGAAACTTGGGAATCCCCCAGCTGATACTTTTGATAGAGTTTTGCAAGCGAACCTTCAGCTACAAGCTCAAGGAAGATATAGAGCTTGCCATCCTTCTGGAAAAACCATTTTGCATACAGAAACAAAAAGAGAACATAAAGCTCAATCCTCATAAATCAAGATTGAAAGAGACAACAAGTACACAATAAACAAAGACCAAAACGAAAAAACACACAGGATATTTCCTTTCTTTCATCAACAACATAATGCCACCAACAATTGAGTGAATGTCTTGCTAAAGTTTTTATTTTGCCCCCCTTGAAAAGTCTTGCTAATGTTAGAAAGTCCATCAACAGCAGAAATACCTTACTTTTTTCCTCCTTCACCTGATGCTTTATTATTATTATTATTATTTTTTGCTTCAGGTCAACATTAAAACTTAGCTACAAGCACCAATTAGAAGCTGTTGTAGCTCGTAGGAAAAGATCAAAACACAACTTCGGTATGGTCTTGAAAAAGATTTAGAAAAAGTGAAAAGGATCAAGCCCCTCCCCGGATTTAGAAAAAATGAAAAGGATCAAGCTGTGAGATATATTTTTGTAATTGGCATATTTCGGTAACAAAACAAGTCCTAGTCGAGTTGTAATTTCATTACCATATCAGATTTGACATCGACTGCGGAATTGGAAGATCGTTTAGAAGAGGAAAGTACCGTTGATCATCGAAAAGGAAAGAACATGTTAGGACATCGTTTCCCACTTAGGACACAAATACCTACATGGTATATTTTACATAGGTTCCAAAATAGAAAATCCAAGTTCAAATTGGATTCTGTCATGTGGGAACCGGTACTTGGATTTGGGAACCGGTTCCAGAAGCTAAGATTCGAGGAACTTCATTCTGTCCTTTGGGAACCGGTTCCAAGAGTCCTGACAACAAAAGGTTTTCAGTTTCCTTGTTCTGTTTGAGTCCTTTTTTATCCAACTTTCCTTCCAAGTCCTATGCACTAAATTTCCTTTATTTTCAGAAGGAATAGGACTTTGTAAACCTCTATATAAACCATGTCATACACATAGGTTTATTAACGGCTTTTGTTATACAAATTCATTATTCTTAAAAACCTTAGGAAGATTATTTTTGCAGAAAATCAGAGTTGATTTTTCTGTCATCTTTCTAGAACACATACACATAAACACATAGTGAGTTTAGAGTTGTGTTCAAATCCTGATCGTAATCATACAGTTGCATCTACATCGATCAGACGAAAGCAGATCTACATCGAATTCAGATGATCGAAGAACAGAAGTAAAAGCGATCATACTTTGAAAGGGTTGGAGCATTCGAGGAGTGTTGTCTAATCTACCTGCTGCTCTTATACAAATATCAAGCATAAGCCTGAGGTCAAGTTGCTGTTGGACGGGGAGTCGCAAAGTTAGAGGATTGTCAGCAGTTGGTGTTTGGTAGAGCGATAGGGTGTAAGCCAGAGTCAAAGTTCAGTGTACTTTATTTCAAACATAGTGTATCGGTTTACTTTGGACTGCACAGTCCACGAGGTTTTTCCCATACAAATAGTTGACGTATTTTATCAACTGGGGTTTCTTCGATAAAATCCTGGTATCATCTCTAACTTTATACTTTGCTTTATTTTATCTGTATGTGATTAATTGTTTAATTGCTAAAATAAGTACAGTTGGAAAAAACACAGATCTGTTTTAAAATTATTAAAACTTTCTAAATATTTCGTTGTGTACGACTCACAAATTGGTATCAGAGCCAATCTTTACACATTAAGTTGATCCTTGTTGGTAAGTTTTGTTTTGTTTTTCAAAAATTGTTTTCAAAATCATGTCTTTTGTGTTAAAAGAAGGCGGTTCTAATTAGCATGGTCCTTTATTTGAAGGAGATAATTACAATTTTTGGAAATCAAAGATGAGAGCCTATTTGCAAAATTCTGGTCGTAAAACTTAGGCAATAGTCGAATCTGGCTATATACCACCTACAGTAGATACAGCTGTGGATGGTAAAGTAGTCAAAGACTTAAAAAATGCTTTTGTTTTTACTGCTATTGAAACTGAGCGTAATGATGCTAATGGCAAAGCTTTATATGCAATTATTAATTCTGTTGTTCCATCTGGATATGCTAGAATTTTTTATTGTAAAACTGCTAAAGAAACTTGGGATATTTTACAGGTTACTCATGAAGGACTTCAAAAGTGAAGTTATCCAAAATTCAGATGCTTTCTCATAACTTTGGGAACATCGTGATGAAAGATGATGAATTCTATTCTGATTTTTATTCTAGTATTCTTGAAATAATTTTTGAACTGCGTCACTTAGGTAAAAAAGTTAGTGATAAGAAAATCTATTAGAAAATCTTAAGGGCTTTATCTAAAAGATTCTAGATTAGAGTTAAAACCATCATTGAACATTGGGATTTGACTACCTATAAAGTCGATGAGATGGTAGGTTCATTGAAAACTTTTGAGATGCAGAACTTTGATTCAAATTAGAAGGAGAAGAATCTTGCTTTAAAATCAACACAGTTTGAGAATTCTGTGGATGATAACTCTGATGATGATTTTGCTTTTCTGTCAAGGCAATTTAATCAGATCTTACAAAGACAACAGAGGAGAATGAATAACAACATGGCTGATCCTCAAAATTTTGACAAGACGTCAAAATTTAGGTTTAATGAAAAGAAAGTACAAGAATCTAAAGAAATTGAATTCACTTGCTGGAATTGTGGTGGCAAAGGTTACGCATCCAATGTTTGTCCTAGTCCTAGGAAAGAACAAAATGATAGGAATAAAGGAAAAGCAATGAAAGTTTCTATGATTGAAAATTTTACTTTAAGTGATAATGATTCTCCTCATAATGATTCTAATGATTTTTCTTATGTCGTTTTTCTTGATAGAGGTCCTCATGTTGTTACTTTATTTGACTCTGATATTTCAGATAACGAAGACAATGACCTTCATAACGAACATGTACAAGAGGCTGAAAAGGCCGATGAAAGATTGAAGAAGATGGTCGAAGAAACCATTGAAGTCAAATAGGCTATCAATAAGCTAGCAAAAGAGCTTATCCAAGCAAAAGGAGAGAATGAAGATCTAAAGAAACAGATTGATGAAGGTAAAATGAAAGCTTTTGAAAGTAATTTTGTCATCACTGAGCTTGAGAAAAAGATCATTATTCTTGAGAATAAGGTAAGTATTGCTAACTCATTGAAGGAATGTCTTGTTTTGAAAAATGATTATCTTAAAATTGAATTGAAATCTGAATAAGATAAATTGAATGGATTCAATTTGAGTCAAAACAGTTTGAATAAGATAATTAACATGGGTAAGGATGTGAATGATAAAACAGGGTTAGGATTTGTTAAAGGTTCTTCTAGTAATCAAGGTAAAACAACTTTTATTAAACCTGCTGTTATGCCTAAACCATGTTTGCTTGATGCATCACATTCTGATATGTCTTATGTGCCTAAATTGTTGCATTGCACTTTTTGTAGAAAAAATGGACATAAGTATAACTCATGCCTTCACAAGAAAAAGAAAAACTTTTCTAAAATTCATTCTCAAAATTCTCATGCAAAGAAAAAGGTGCGTTCCAGGAAGAAAAAGAATGTTGTAACACCTAAGATTTATAGAGCTAAAAATTTACACAAGAAAGAGGTAAAGAAAAATAGAGAATTTCAGGAAAAAGATTGAGAACTATGTGGATCAAAAAAATCTGATTTGATTAATTATGTGCCTGTTGAGTCCATGGAACAAGTTTCTAAAGGGACTTCACCTTTAAACTGAGTCCTGAAATTTAGTGATCATAGCTTATGTTTAAAAGAAACTTTTGTTACCATTAGATCACTTGTTAGGGTTTGGTTAGGGTTTTGAGTTTCTGATCATAGTTTTCATGATATATTTGAGAAAATTCTTCCATTGAATTTATGATCTATCTTTAAATGCAAATTTGGATACATGCTTTTTGATTAAAAATAGATTCTTAGTTTGTAATCTGTACAATGAAAGTTGATTTGCACTGATTAAGGGATTTTTAGATTTGAATCTCTTAAATTCATAACTTTTTGTGCATTAGTCCAAATCTGAAAAATTTGATTAAAAATCTTTGAATTGTTGACTAGGGTATATTGATCACAATAGGTGTAAAGGTTATTGTCTGAAAAAAAAAAAAAAAATAAAATAAAATAGGAGCTTGAAAAAAAAAATCAGTTTGAAAAAGAAAAGAAAAATGTGAAATATGCTGAATTCTTTATTTAGGAAAAGGCTACTTATTGAGATGTGTTCGAAAGCTCCGATTAAACTTTGAAGTGGACTTAAATGAGTAAAAAGAAAGGTGGAGACAAGTTGAATTGGGGAATTGTTGTCTGCTCTTTAGAGTGAAAGCCACCTTACTTAAAAAAATTGCTTAAAGACAATTTTATCTTGATGCTTTTCGATCAATATGGTTTGGACAATGATTTATTGATAATTGATGAGATGGATTGCACACACACACTTGAACTTGCTAGATTGATTTCTAAATGTTTCATTAAAATTTGCAAGTTAAAATTCGTGTTGTGATTATTTTCTGAGAATTGAAATTGATTGAATATTCTGTGGAGTTGAAATTTTCATTCATAGATATCTCTGACAATTTTTCTAGAAATTTGGATCATGTGTGGACTTGAATGACTGCTCAATGATTTGTTCTTAATTTTGTTTTTAAAAATTCAAAAATAAAAAAAATAAAAAAACTATAAAATTCAAAAAGATTTTTTGATTTTAGTTTGTATTTTTTTTTTTTTTTTGTTTGATTTGATCATTGTGTGATTCAAAAAGTCCGATAAAAAATTTTCTGGAAAAATTTTCAAGTCTAAAATACATTCTGCCATGTCCCTACCGGTTCACAGATCCCCTACCGGTTCAAGGTACAAAGTAGCAAGGCCAAATCATTCTGGAGCTTGGATACCGATACCACAAGTTTGGTACCGGTTCGAAAGTGGTCCTCACTTTCGAAAGTTCACTGCTCGGTGGGAACCGGTTCCCACATTGGCTTCCGGTTCCTGGCAGCAAGTATAGGCATATAAGAGGTTTATTTTGCACTGTTGGGTATTGTTACA